TAGACCTTCTTGACCTCCGCAACGCCGGCACCCTCTCGTTGGGGTTCTGGGGCCACGTGTGGTGGAGTCGCACCTGTCGTTGCACGTGCTGCAACTCTGCTCTGTCGAGCAGCAACTTTCTGTTTCAATTCCGTCAGCTGCTGCTGGAGCGCCGACAGCTTCTCGTCTTGCACTGCGGTGGCTTGCTGCATTTCGCGGAGTCGAGCATGTTGCTCGTTCTTCTTCTGCACAATGGAGACGAAGCCCTCCTTGAGGTCGTCAAAGGCTTTCCGGACCATGTCCACGGAGGTGTTACCCCCACCCATGGCTCCAATCTCAACTAGCCTTGAGCTCTTGTTCTGCTCTGCGGGACGTTGTGTCGCGCTTGGGCAGAAAGACACGCTCATGCCCGGAAGGAATCTCAATGTCGCTGGACTGCTCTTCTTCTCGGCCTCCAACTACACTGCGATGCTTCATGCTGGCAGTCGAAAAGGCGCACCCGCATCATGACATCCTTCTCATCCTACGTCCTACTTAGTAGGCTGCAGTCGCTCCGACAATCTCCCATCAGATGTTCAGCCCCAGCTGAACCATGGATTCGACACGATGTACAAAAGCGCAGACACAGAGAGTGTGGATGTGTGAGTGTCTACGATCGATAGACTAGATGAGATATTGGAAGAGATTGTTTTGCATTATGTAGATTAGTTTAGACTAGACTTCAGATCAGATTAGACAGATACATAGACACATAGCTCGATAGACAGCATAGATATAGTTACATACACCACACTAGACGAGAGTAGAGACTACAGTAGACTAGACTGGACCACAGTACAATACAACTCACCGCACCACATTCTGTCTCTGCCTCTCTCTCTCTCTGTATATATACACATACACATATGTGTGTCTCTAAGTACGCTCACATGTATGCATGTAGGGATGTAGGTATGTATGTATGTATGTATGTATGTATGTATGTACTTGTACATAGCGAAACTTCACAAACCCAGTGCGCCTCCGGCACCGGCGCACTGGCCGAAGTCGTCGTCACCCAGCGCAAAGATGCAGCCGGCCTCCGTCAAGAAGAGAACATGCCTCCACCCGGCTGCCACCTCTGCAGGCGGTGGGATAGGGTTTGGGCTTTTAGGCTTCCAGCTATGGCCGTTTACCCATAGGCCCTAAGGTAGTTCCGTTTTGGGGTTCATATTTAGAATCCTATTATAGGGAATCCCCAAAAGGAACTACTATGGGGCCTATGGGTATATGCTTCGCTCCGGTGGTTGGGCCTGCGCCACGCGCGAGGCCGGCCCGCCCTGGGCAGCACCTGAGCAGACTCCACTTTGCTGTGCTCTGGCAACGCGTCTCCGCGATCCGAGGGGCCCCAGACGTGGCGGAGCTGGCCCGGGTCCTCGGAAGATTTTTTTTCAAGCTCCCCCTTTTTGGCATTTTTTTGTCAAGAAACTTCTGTCTCGGTGCCGAGCACCACCCGGTGGCCAGAGGCCGCCGAAGAGGAAGACTTCCCCCTGCCGCGTCCTCAGCTCAAGCATTGGAATGGGGTTTGGGGCCTTCTTATACATACTGTATATATATATATATACACATACATGTTTGCTTTTTCTTTTTATCTCTAGGGAGCCTTAAGGAATATCCTTATGTTTATACTCATAATTAGGGCAAAGCGAAGCTTTAGAGATCCACCAGAACCCCGAGGCCCCTGCACGAAGGAATTGGATCCTGAGCTGAGGGGGTGCCGAAGACATATCTATTCATCCATCTCCTTGTGGCTTGTGCGTATCTATCCGTCTCTCTATCTGTGTGTATGTATAAAAAGGCAGATTATGCATGTAAAGATATACATATATATATATATATATGCACACGCGCGCGCACACACAACAAACATGCATATTCTCTCTTTCACATTTTCTTTCGCCAGGGCAAGGGGCAAGAGAGGCCAGGCCCCCCTCCTTTTTCAGTCTATCTCTCTCTATGTGTGATCAAGAAGTATCTATATATGTTTAATTATTCAAAAGCAATGTGATAACAATGGGTTCTTGCGTTGGAGAAAATAAAGTGTTGATTGCTGTTCGCGCACAGCACGCATCGAAAAGGAGCTCCCTGCGTCCTATTGGTGGTCGCCTGATTGCTCGTCCTGGTCGCAAAGTGCTCGTCGCGGGTGGTCTTCTGATGATGTGCTGGTGTTCTGTGGGTGGTGCCGCGGTGGTCCTGCTGTTCTCTTGGTGGTCTCCTGGTGCTGTCTTGGTGGTCTGCTGGTGGTGTCGTGGTCGTTGTTGGTGAGCTGCTGGTGGTCTCCCCCGAAGGCTGCTGCAGCTCAGCACCCTCGGAACTCGTGTTTTCGAGTACGGATGTGCAAATTGAGTACGGAATGACGGAATGCTTCCAAAGGCGGTGCAAGATGGCAACCAGTCGCCACCTGTGTTTTTGCCCAAGCATACAGCGAACCACCGAAGCAGTGGGTGATGACTGCGCGTCTGGTATGGAAAAACAACAACCGGTCCGGCGATCGTGACTTCTGATGTTGTTATTATTCTCTATTCGGGGATCTCAGCTGGCAGAATTTACTGGCTCGTTTTTGTGGTGTGTGTGTATATATATATATATACAGACTTACAGATAGCGCACATGTATAGTCTATATTGCAAGACGCCAATGGCCTCCGCAAGCAATGGTCGGCGCGGCGATGCCTGCGCTGGCAGATCTAGAAACGACACAGATATGATCCAGCAACAGAAGGAAAGAATGTCCAGCAATGGAGACGAACACAATGCCAAGCCAAGCAAAGACGAATGCGTACGCGAATTAGATCGCTTGTCCGCATCGGACAAGATGACACGGCATTACTTCAGTGATTGTGCTGACTGCGGTAGTTCCTGAATAAGCCCTGCCTCACCCGCTCCCCCTTCCCGGCCACCAACTCGGGACAGATTCTTTGCACTGTCACTCTCTGCGTGTTCCACGATGAACAAAGTGATTGAGAACCTTCACTACGCTCGCCTTTCTGCCTTACTGCACCCACATCTCACACTCACGGAACTCGCGGATCGTCAACACTTCGAAGCTCGCTTCGCCTTGCTTTCTGCTCGGGCTGGCGCTGGCGGCGCGCTCCTGTCTCTTCGGAGCTGTCGGGCAACAAACAAAGCAACAGAGTCGCCCTCCTTCCGCGGAGAAGTGGAGCGTCCGGAGCGGCCTCCTGAACTACCAGAAGCTTTAGAAAGAGGTGGGATTGCGGCAGAGATCATAAGTCTCCCTTTTGAAAGCCTGCAGGGCAGACTAAAACAGAATCCCTGGCTCTGACCTCCGCGATCCAGCAGAAGGGGCGTGGGCACCACCTCGAGCTAGCTGCGAAATTCGACTCTGCTTGTCTGCTCTGCAAAACGGGCGGTTCAGGCGGTTCCGGCCTCCGGCTTCACAGGGCGAGGGGAGCCGCTCCCGGAAGCGCCCTGCTCCCAGCGCCCTCCGCGCCAGCCGCGTGGCACCGCATGAGCACCTCGGGGCGCGGCAGGGCAGCGACTGCGGCCCTTTGTTATGTCATGCGCCATGCGAAGCTTCCGCTGAAGACTCGCCGAGACACCTAGGAGACCCCAGCGGAAGACTTGGCCACCCGCCACCGCCAACCTGAGCTGCGGAGCGAAGCGGAAACGAAAGCCGGAGGTGAACCGGTTGTGGCCCGGAGAGACCCCCGTTTCTGTCTCTCTTCATGTGGCCAGGGGGCGAGTGGTCGGTGCCAAGAGCCACAGCCTTCGCAACAGAACCACGATCACTCCGAGCTGAGCTGCGCTGCGGTTTAGCCCCGCCTCGATCGCTCCTGCCGTCGTGGGGAAGGCCACAGGCGTGGCCTGGCGGCACTTGCTCTGTGGGCCAACGAAAATGCTTTGGGGCCCTTTTCTGCTCCTGTCCTCTGGGTGCTTGTAGGCGTCGGGTGGCTGTGCCTCCGGGCCGCAATAGACACAGAGCTCAAGACGGACATAGGCCATGGGGCCATAGGGGATCACTCTTTTCTCAACAGCGGCCCAGTGGCATGGCCGAGCTCGCCGTGGGGCCCACAGCCGAAGGTGAAAAGCGTAGGCATCGGCCATTGGGGCGAAGGCCACTTCTGTGAAACGGAGGCCTCTGTTGTGATCTTTTGGGGCACCCCTGGCCGAGTTCTGGCATGCCCGCCAAAATATCCCACGATGGGAGCCTCTCCCTAGTGTCCCTCTGTATACGTTCTCTTCAATGCTGCTGTTGCCATGTGCCGGCATGCAAAATGGTACACAACTTGCGCTAAAACAAACTCTGCGATTCAGCTTGCTGTATGTGGATGTCGTAAGGACTTTCCACTTTTAATATTAAAAGTTGCTGCACGGGTATGGTCGTTCTTTCAACCTAGTCGTCTGCATTAAGCCACATTATGCCCGACATATCATATCGCCACATGGGGCTGGCTGCTCTGATCTGCGTGGCTACAGCGGCTTTTGCAGGTGGAACATGCTATCAGTAGTCCCAGTTGGGCACGGCACGCGGATGCGCTGGGAAAGCGTTGTTGGCACTGCAAAGACGCGAGCCGAGATTGGAGGAGCTCATGCACGAAGGGTACAGAGAACAGGCGATCGACCATCAGAGTTGGTGACAGACAGCCAAGCCAACCCAAGCAGCATGGCTGCCATGTTGGTCCTACTTTCTGCCTTCAGGGTGCAAGTCTGCATGTCACAGGAGTTCAACTCATCCACGAATCGCCTGAATGACACCCTGTGCGGCATACTTGTGAGACCAAGTCGCAGACCGCTCTGCAAGCAGCGACGTTGGCTGCAGGTTAAAGCAGGCAGCATGCAAAGTTGGCGCATTTATGCGCAAGAAGTCCGTCGTGCAAACTGGCACTGAGGAGTTAGGTAGATCTTCAGGTTCTCGGGTCTGATCTTGGCAATCTGGTTGACACCGAAGTTGTCCTCAACAAAGGCTGCCAGTGGTACAGTCACTGCAAACACTACGTGTCATGACACAGCACGATTCGAGTTCTGTCCGTCAGGGGCAACTGCACATTGTAGCGGCTGGTCTCTGCGTCATAAGAGTTGATGTTGCCAATCCAACCATTTAAGGTTGGACACAGCTTCAGACCAGCGATGACGACGGCAGCACCTGTGGGCAGGACCTGCGACATCCTGGCAAAGGACCGCTGTGGTGTGAAGCAGACAGGCACTGTGCTAAGCACCGGAGACCCAGACGGACCGGAGGATTTCTGCAGCTGTGTGCTCAGAAAGCCAGCGGTCGCGGGAGCCATTGGAATGCTTCTTGAGCTTTGCTCCAACACCCATGGATTGGAGCGGGCCAGATTCTCATCAAGCAGCCCAACCTTCGGGCCAGGGGCCACGCTGGCCTGGCAAACGAGCGGCAC